CAACCCTATTCCTAGGTATGGGAACATAAGGAACCCCAGGTCTGCTCTAGCCTGGCAACTTAAATGGAGCAAGCCTTTCCAAACGTCATATTCCAAAAACGCATATAAAATCTTGGCTGGGGTAATGGCCCCATACGTGGCTTTTGCCCAGGCTGATCTCCAATTAGACCACTAACCCCTGACAGTCCAAATTCTTCTCTTTTATATTTTAATCCTCTTGACTTGGGCTATAGTTCCTATAGGGCCTTGGTCTGACAACCTGTTTCAAGTCACTTCTCTAGCCACCACCCTTGACTGGCCTGCTTCACGTTTCATGCCTCCTTTAGTCCAGGTGCAACGACAACTCTGATTCAAGTAGGCCCAAGCCCAGCTCTGAGGGATCTCCTAACCTTCCCAGGCTCCTCCTACAATCCAGGTGTTTAACAGCAAGTCAGCTTACTTCTGGCCAGGTCCTGAGCTTAACCAATAGGTTCCAGCACTGGGATTTTCTTTTTTCTTCCCTAATTCCCACCTTCTGCCCCAATCCCTGAAACTGAATGTGCCATGTTTCCTTGGGCCTTATACCTTCATTTCTTTAGTCTTCTTGACTGTATTCTGCTCCTGAAACCAAAGTCTTCATGATTGGATCTCGACTTCTAGATGTCCTGTATCCTCTCTGCCCAAATCTCTACCTATTATATGATAATTAATTTCCCCCAAGTCATTTCGACAATTCCAGTAACTGACGACCTTCTTCCTTTTAATCTTCACCCAGTTTAAACTCCAGTGAGAGACAATCAAGAATTCATGAATACATATATATTTATTTAATTCATAATATAGCATTTTGGATGGGCTGGGATATTTTAGAGGGGTGAGGCTGTGTAATCCACAGATACTCAGATTTCTGTAACTAGGAGAGACACTATTGGTCCAGAGCTCCTAGTACAAACAAGCTGGGGGTAAAATATTTGATAAAAAATAGTCCAACAGTCTGATAAATATTCTAGCCAATGACAACAACACAGCCTATGTCTGAAGCTGGCAGACCAGACCATAAAAGGCAGTTTTACCTGACCTGATGACAGTCAACCTGGCCAACCTGTAATACATAGCCAAATACAGCCCAATGGCTTTCCAAGGCTGCAAATGGCTTCAAAAATTGAAGTAAGTGTGAGAGTGGTTCTTATCTGTCAGCCTCACATTCTCCATTCTGTAGAGGATAGGGTATCAAATATTTGAGCTTATCAAAAAGTCCATCTATGGATTGTTCCATCCAGGTAGTCATATATAAATATGTAAACCATGGAAGCTTAGAAAATTCACCTAGTGTATTTTAGCTGAAAAGAACATATAAGTGATTTTGCTGCAATCTGAATTTCACTGCATCCAAAGTTACACAATGGAATTACATGATAAAAACACATACAGATGCAGTTACTCTTACTTACAAGTAGCCAGAACTCCAATGTGACATTAAAATTTCTTTCATATTCTCAAAACAAGTTTTACTTTATTTTTGCTTATTTTTGTGCTTTCTTCAATAAGACAATATAAAAAGTAGTAAGGAGCACAAATTTCAGACAGAAAGAATAATTTGCTAGCAGAAAGAATTGTAGGAGAATAGATTGAGTAAAGCAACAACAAGGAAAATTTATGGAGTCACCTTCCTCGAAGATATGAAATACAGGGCCTATTCCCTTTGTCCAGCTGGGTTTAGCTAGAGGTAGTCAATGACTTCTCTTAAGGTCTCTGGCATTGCCAGTATTCTATGAAAGTCGTAAGTTTACTGAAGTATCTGGGACTCACCACACCCCCACTGAGTACTTTGCCACCATACTGTTTCCTGAAAAGCACTTTTCATTATTTGGCTCAGAAACTTCATTCCTTACCCCAAACCCAGTTTAATTTCCTACTTTATTCAGTAGGCTTAGCTCTGAGTGGCTTTTGGCTATAATCAAAACTTAAACCCACCTTCAAAGACGTTCAAAAAGATTGAAAAATTATTGAAAAGAATGATGCTACATGCTCCAGACAATTCCCCACGTTAACTTCCAAAGAGCTTTTGCGGACGACAATGCTCATTTATATGTATGAGTCCTGGGACAGTGGCAAAATAATATCAATACAGCCCAAATGGAGAAGTAACCAAGCTTTTCTGCCCAGGAAACAACAAACACCAGTATGGATATCAGAGTACAACAGGGAAATTTTGATCATTCAATCATTCATTGATTCATTCAATAAACATTAGCCAGGCAACTACTCTGTTCCACACACTATGCCAGGTGTTAAAAATACAACAAACACAAAAGACACAGTCCCTGCCCTCAAGGTATTCAGAGTCTGGTAGGGAAGATGATTAGTATACACTTTTGTGTGCATCAGATTTACCTGGGGAGCTTGTTAAAAATGTAAAGTTCCACCTGTGTGCCCAGATACTCTAATTAAGTAGATCAGAGGTAGGGGGTTCTAGGAATCAACTGTTTTAACAAACACCAAAGGTGAGCCTAACAGGTGGTCCAAGGACCACACTTTGAAAAACACTGCTATACAGTGTGATTATTGCTGAGAGGTGGGGATGCTCAGGGTGCCCTGGGACCTCTAGGGGTCTGGAGTTAATCTAGTTGAGAGGGGCAGGAGTGGGGAAAGGTAGTCCAGTCTTGAGTCAAAAGTAGGGTGGGGGTATTGCTTTGTCCCAGAGCACTAAAATCTAAAGCACACAAAGAGTGAATGGCATGGGGAATCCAAACAAGGTAAAGGAAGTGGATTGGAGCGGGGGTGGAGTGTTCTGCACTTAGAGCATTTTCACACTATCATATTTAAGAGTAATTCTTACTGTTTACTCTGGGCATCAAAATTACTCATAATGTTTCTGTTCCAGGCCCAGAGAACAACTTGTGTAAACAGTTAAGCTTGGCTAGAATTACCACTGTGAGAGAAAGTGGCAAAAGATGAGGCTATGACAGCAAATGGGGACCTGAAAAGCCAATCCCTAAGCAATTGGGACATTCTACTGAATGCTATTGGAGCCAGTGAAAGGTTTTATGAAGGGGAAAAATCATTTGTTTTAAGAATCTGGGGATAGGCTCTAGAGGAAAGACCAGAGTAACAGAAATGAAAGGCGTACGTTTTAAAGCACCGCTACACTGTATTGGGGCTAGGGCTGGGGGAGGAGACAAGTATTTCTTGCACACTTAACTAAATGCCAGGTGCTGTGCTAGGCAGTTTACATGTGCTACCTTTTCAAATCTTTGCAACAGCCTCATGAGGTAGGTATTATTTTACAGAAGAGGAAACAGGCTCAGAGAAGTGAAGTACTTGCCCTAGGTCCTACTGCTACTAAATGGCAGAGGAACTAGGATTATTTCAGTCCAAAGGCTATGAGCTTTCCATTACAGCCACTATTTCCCAGCACTGCTGAATCTTACTGAGGTTGCTCATTTCGTGATTAGCAGTAAGTACATATGGTTTTTAAAACCAAAAAGCTGACTTTGCCACTAGATATGTAAGTTTGAGCCTGCCATCTCTATCTGCATCAGTCCTGCTTTCCACGTTAGGCAAACAAACAATGCAAAACTGTTATTTGGGGGATTTATATAAATACTTTGTCTCTCCTACAGAATAGTAAGCCATGTGACAGCAGGGACTGTGTTCTATCAATATGTCAGCAGCAGTGTGGTACCTGGCATCTAGCAGTTCGTTGAATGAATTAATGAAGAACATCCACCAAGGTGGTGGAAAGGAAGAGGGGCGAAGTTTGGGCACTGTTTCAAGGCTCCAATCTCGGGGCTGGTTACAGCTACCACTTTGCACAACAATAGTATTTTCACAACTCCCAAGAAGTGGAGTCCTTGAAGCAAACTCAGCTCCTGGAAAGGAGAAAGCTCTGTTTCTGACATCCTCACTCCCTGCTGTGGAACTGACAAAAACAGACCATACAGCTTGAGTCCCTTCGCTGACAGTGATGAGGACTGGGATGAAGCTTCCATCTCCATTTGCCATGAAGGGGTGGCTGAGCAGATGAACAGTGCAAACAAGATTACAAGAGGAATGATTATTTAACTGTTTAAGAAAACAAACTGTTCTCAGGCATTCTTAAGCACTTCAGAAGTGTTTTATCTGAAAATACAAGTACATTTATATGCAAATAGTTGTTGCATCTATAACTCTCCATTCTTACTGATTAAGTAAATAAAGTGGGTTCCTAAAGAACCTCCATTAGGCAACTCTTTTTTTAGCCTAATTCTAGTAACTGTATGTACTTGAGAGTAATAAAACTGTATGTCCTTGAAATATCCTTTGATGGAATTTTTAGCAATTCAGGCGAACCTCCTCCATTAGGTAGCATCAATGAAACTGCTACATAGAACGCTTCTACCTGGATCAGTTTCCTATTTAGCAATAGCATCTCTTGTGCAATCTTGTCCCCCAATCTTTCTGAATCCAACCTAGAGCTCTTCCCACTAAGTGTCTCATTATTGCATGTACATGTGTGTGTAACAGGATTTTCATGTTCCCTTTAGGAGACAAAAATGGATGATATAATTTATTTTCCCTTCTAGTATATTTCTCGCTCAAATGAGCAAATTAAAAAGTTTATTATGTATATATAATTATAAAATGAATATATAATACATAGGTATATGTATTATATATTCATTTTATATATATTATATGTACACATACATGTTTTCTTTATAATAAATCCTTGATTTTAGGTTTTTATCAAAAGCTACATATAATATGTGATCATTTGACATTTCAAAATTCTACTTGGCCAAATTGGCCAGTACTGGAAAGGCTGAAACCCCTCCCTTTCTGGCTGGCTAGCCCTTTGCTCAGAGCAGCTTTCTACACTGTGTACCTAGAATTACCATAATTCCGCCCAATATTATTCATACTCCTAAATCGCTGGGAATTTCTAACTCTCCAATGACAAGAGAGGAATTCTCTAAATTTCTTCTCCAATGGCTTGAACACAGACTACTCAGATAATTTGTTCTGAGAAACTCAATACATTAACTCAAATACAAGCTTTAATGCACAAAAATTAAATCTATAATATCTAATTATTTTGGATGCTTCAAATGAACTTTATTTTTGTATCTCGGATATTGGACACTAACTGAGGTTTAGGAGGGAAAAAACTGCTGAACTGGAGAGCCAGTGAATTATATGCTCTGTTGAAACTTAATGGCAAGCTTTCATCCCAGAAACATAAGGGGATTCTTGAGGCCTGCAGTTGCATTCCTGCCGCTCAGGGTAATCAATAAAATCTGGGGCAGGCAAGCCAGACAGGATCATTAGGGATTTGTTCCAGATTGTGAATGTTGGACAAACTGGAAGAATGAAGGTCACATCAAAAGTATGAAGATGGAGAGAGTTAGCTGGGTCATAGAAAGACAACATGTTGTTGTCATAATCCAGAAGGACACCCAGACGCTTCAACTGTGGGGGCACATCCACCAGCATTTCCTTGTTGTTATGTCTTACTACGAAGTTACTATTGCATCGAGAGAAGACCCATGAGGAGGCATTCTTGCCAATCCATTCATTCTTGGGAGCTGATTTGTAGGCAATGCCAATTGCATACCTGTGAGACAGTGGAAAGGCAAGAGAAATAAACATTTATTAATGATATGAGTTGTGCCAGGCACTATACAGGATATATAAGAAATAGAATACATGTTTCTTCCTTAAACAGTTTACATTTAGATCCATAATGTTGACACCACTAGAGCTTTGAAAAGTTAGCAATTAGAGTGATGTAGGAGTTTCCAACTCCTAGCTCAGTATGTTTTCCATGATTTTATTAAAAGACGCTGGCAAAGTTTTCTAGGAGTGGTTTTCATCACATGCCTTTTAACCTTGACTTACTGGTATTATGTTTATGCTACAGAACGGAATCTCCCAGGAACCTAACAACAGGGGAGAGAAGAGAAAAGAAAAGTGAGATCCACTTACCATGTTGAGGAACCCATGACTACCTCCCAGTAGTGACAGCCACTGTCAATGAATATATTTCCTGCTGCCCCATAGCACCCTGTGCCACTAAACCTCTCTGGGGTATGGCTCTTCTTCAGAGAGCTCTCATCCTTCTCCATCTGCAATCCATCATTGGAGATCTTCAACTTCTTGTGAGTCATTTTGGGATCCAGTTTAAAGGGTTGGCCTGAAAAGAGCAGAAAAAAGCAAATGCATGAGGAAGTAGTTAAGAATTCTATCTTTGTCCTCCAGGACCGTCACTACCAGAGGAGCCTCCATATGACGATCATTCTTGGGTCAGTGCAAGTTGGCTGCTCTTTGGCTTATGTTAAGAAAACAGGCCAGAAGCCTCTGTTTTCAATACAATAAGAAAACGCTGTCCCCCTTTCACATATTATCAAATGAAAACGGGGCTCTCAGGGTCTCATGTTCCCAAATATATTTTGCACTTTGCTTTATTTCAGTGGGTGGTTTGGGATTTGAGCAGATTTTAGGGGAAGCAGTGTTTGCAGTGAGACAAAGTGAGGGAATTGATGAGATAATTGCTGCTTGGTGGCAGAACAAAGAAGACCCTGAGAATAACTCAGCAACAGGAAATTTTTGCCCTCTTACAATTGGGATGTAAATAATGTATAATTAGGTAACTTTGTTAGAGTGACTATTGCATTATCAATGATCAGAGAAAATATTTGTTGTGTAGGATCATTCACAAAAGTCATATGACAAAACCAGTTACTAGGAGCCAATTGCCGGGTATGGCAAGAGCTGTATTATACAAAATGCATCTATGGCAGACACCATTGGCGAATACAACACCCATGCCCTACTTTTTCTCTCTAACCCACCTTCACTACAGAGGCTAGCAAAGTTAAATACTCAAGCCCCTAGCCTCTCTTGCTGCTAGGAGTGGCTAATAAGATGGAAGAAGATGGAAGCAGAAGTCAGACAAAGTCGGGGAAGCTTCTGGGAAAGTGCCTGGTTTCCAATAAAAGGGATGGCCATCATGTATTCCAACCCTTTCCCCCTTTTTCCTGTCTTGAAAGGAAATATGACATCTAGAGGTTGCAGTAGCCAGGTTGTGACCATGTGGCAATAATCCAAAACACAAAGGGAGAGGGAGCCTGGGTCTTTTACGACATCACAGAGCTGCTGCACCAGCCCGGAACCACCTACCTTCAAATGTCTTTCTATGTGAGAGAAAAAAATACTTTAAGCTACTAACTATTTGTTAAGCTAAGTTAGCTGAATTTTCTGTCACTTGCATTCAAAAGCATTCCTAACAGGTATGGCTTCTCTGCAATAGGATTTTACCAGATTATCACAAATAGTACTCTTTTACTCAACTGTCCCCCAAGCATGGGGTTGGGTGGAGTGCGGAGAACTCTTCACTACTGTCCTCCCAAGGCACCATCTATTTTATGCATATCTCTGTATCCACATTACCTCCCAGGGGCACGAGCAAACCCTGTGCCCAAAGCCCAAAGCCCCTCTACCCGGTGCTTCTGCTCTCTTGCACTTCTGTGGGTTCCTGCTCCCTAGCATGGAGGGGAAAAGTGACCTCTCCTTTTGGAATCCCCATAACGTACTATTTGTTTTCAGTCGGGTAGGTTCACTGTTCCGGCTGCCTGCTTGGTTTATGGCTTTAACAATGAAGATGTAGCGTGTCCCACTCTGGAGTCCGTGCACTGTGTAATGGTTCTGTTTAATGTTGGGCACAATCATCCAGCTATCCACTGAATTATACAGGCCTGTAACATGGGGAAAGACAAGGATGTTAACCAGCAGGTAATAGAGATAGGATGAGAAGCACACTGAAAATTCATCATAAACGCCCCCAAAAGTGAATTTCATTTTGTTTTCTTTTGAGTCCTGGAAGACTTAGTGAGATGAATCTCCTCTACTTCTTTTCTCCCATGGATCTAGGCTTATGCCAGGCTCCTCACTTGTGGTAACTGAATAAAACCACAAGTGAAAGTTAGGTTACTCCAATTTCCTGCCATATAATACAGGAAAAGCTACTATACAGAACCACAGAATCATTTCTTTTATGGAGTATCTAGATCTTTACCCCAAAGGTCCAATCTTCTGAGAGCTAAGTCTGGCCTCATATGGATGGAGAAGTCCTATGCAGAGCACAGAAACATGGAATCTCAGAGCCGAAAGGACACCTAGACACCATATTTCCCTCATTTTACAAATGGGAAACTAAGATGGAGAGAAGAAAAGTGACTTGCCCAAGGCCACAGATAGCTGGTGATGGCACTGAGAGTAGAACCCTGGTCTCATTAAGCCTAGTCCAGTGTTCTTTCCACTACATCACAATTCGTAGGGTGAACAACAATGTGTCTTTGCCTCTGCAAGGTCTCAGGGCTTATGACTCAACTCTCCCACCCCATCCTCACCCTTACTTCTAAACCAGCTGGGCTCTAAGGTATCACAAGGAAGCCAGGAGATGACATGATAACCAAAGCAAAATATCATCTCCTCACTTGACACTACCCATTTTTACCCCTTCCTGGTTCTGAATCCAACACTCTTTTGAAGTTGAGTGGTCCAGGAACACACTGTTGTCTGGAACCTTCTTCCCTCTCAAGTAGAGAAAGGGATCAGAGATCTAGGTTTCTGCTTTTGAAACTCTTTAGACCATAAACATTGACTTAAACAGAGAAAAATGTACATAATTAAAAACATGTATAGGTCTAACTTTTAGTAAAAGAGGGATCGATATTCTGGTTTGTGAATGATCAAGACTTGTCTCTTCCACTATCTTCTTTTCAGTCAGTTTATAGCTTTTTAACCACAATTCTACCAGAGGGTGGAAAGGAAAGGGCAAGGAAAATGAGCAGTGAATTTAGTCACTTCTATGCAGCTCTAGTAAAGGGTTTAGTGAGGTTAAAAACTGAAAACAATAATGAGCATTTTGAAAGAGATCTGATCATGAGGGTTTTATAATTAATTTGGGGGTGGGGGAGGTTGAAAAAATCTAAATTAAAACAAGGAAAAGAAGCATAATGGAGGGCAAATAGACCTGCTATAGAAAGACGAATAATTTGTGGAGATGCTCGGTGATTCCTATGGAAATACAAGAAGGATTAAGGGCCCGGAACAATGTTTGAGTGCTTGGCTGTCTATGTACCTATGCACAGTATGAATCATAAACTGTGCGTGGAATTTCAATACAAATACAAAATATATGATCTTCCAGATATACTTCCAACCATACAAAACAAAAAACACAACAAACTTTACAACAAAGTACCTTGCAGCTGTAAAAAAGAATGAGGAAGATCTCTATGAACTTATATGGAGGGATTTCCAGGGTATATTATTAACTGAAAAAATAAAATTGTGAAAGAGCATATATAGTATGCTACCGTTTTTGCAAAAAAGACAAATAAGAAAACATACCTATATTTTCTTGGATTTACAAAACAATGACAACAGGAAGAAAAATCCAGAAAATAATAAATTGGCTACTTACAAGTGATAGGGGTGGGGGAACAGGATTAAAAGAATATGAGAGAGAAGGACACTTCTCTGAGTATAAGTTTTTTTGTATAGTTCTCCCTCTTGGAAACATGTTGTTGTTTTACAAATTCAAAAAATTAAAGTGAAATCAACATGAATGGGAAGACTGGGGACTAAATCTGAAGGGAAACTGAAACAAATGAACCCAACTGCATTGCAAATGACAAACAACATCACCAAGGGGACAGAGGCAGGCGGAGACCTGCAAACAAATCCTGAACTATTGTTTGTGTAGTGGTATGAGCAAAGCCATTCTGAAACGACTTTAGATATATTATGGGATTGAGCAAATGAGTACATGTGTTGATATTGTTGGGAGCCAGGGTCCTCATTGTGGAAGTAAGAACATACAAAGATGGAATGGGAGAAGGCAGGAAAGAAGCTGTGGGGATGGACTGGAATGGGAGGTATTGGTATGAACTCATGATTTCTAAAATATATACATGTATATGTATGTGCATACATATGTTAATACGCGAGTGTATGTGTGTATTTCTAGTACCCAGGTCTTGGTCTCTAATACCATTCTCCCACAAAAATGAACCAGGTCCCTTGGAGAAATGGCTGATTTCAATGCTGGGGCAGGATATGGTCAAAATGAGCCTAGAACCTTTTATTATGCTGGAAAGTAAGGAAGTGCTCAAGAAAATGATGGGAGAATGAATATAAAGACTCAGGAGTCAGGTTAAAAGTCTCCCACTGGCTAAATCTGGGCAATTTAAGCACCAAAATAAGTAAGAGCAGTAAAGAACTATAAACCACTGAAAAAAAGAGAACTCATGGGTCCATAATGATAAGTAGATAAATAAAAAAACAAATGGAGGGTGGGGCTTTTGCTTTCAGTAAAATGCCGAGTGCCAACTTGTAAACGTGGGAGGGAAGGCACAATTAAAGAATCATCATTTTGCAATCATTAGAGTAAATATTGGATCAGACAAGAGTCATGGACTGATGCTAAAACAAGAGTGAGGGTGGGATGGGTTTGGTGAGGAAACAGGGGATTTTCATCGTCTTAAGGTATCACCACACAGATTGCTTATTAGTTGCAAAAGGAAAAACAGTAACTACACAGTGGAGAAATCAGGCCACATCTTTGACCAGGTGATCAAAATTAGCATCATCAATGAAGGGGAAGTGGACATGTGTACCTTCAGATGTGATGTCCTAAGGACACAACACCTCTTACGTAGTATTCCAGTCATGAATGCATAATTTGAATATAATCATGAGGAGACAAACCCCAAATAAAGCACAGTATGATAAAGAAATAAAAGGGCACTTTTAAAAATGTGAATGTCATCAAAGACAAAGAAAGGCTGAGGAAATGTTCCAGATTAAAGAAGGCCAGAGATATGACAAATGCAATACCTGATCTTAGTCTGTAAAGGACAATATTGGGTCCTTTATACATTATAAAGGATATTAGTAGGTCAACTGTGAAGATGGGAATATGAATGGTGGATTAGATAAAAGTATTGCATCAACATTAAATCTCTGGAATCTGATAACCATACTGCAGTTATGTAAGAGAATTTCCTTATTCTTAGGAAACATACACTGAAGAATTTAGGCGTGAAAGGCCATGATGTATGCAACTTACTCTCAAATGGTTCCCAAAAATAGAGATAGAGAATGCTAGCAAATGATACAGGAAATGGGGCAAAATATTAACAAGAGGTGAATCTGGGGAAAAAGTATATGGGTGTTCTTTGTGCTAGTCTTGAAACTTTTCTGTAATTTTGAAATCATTTCTAAATTTAAAAAAGGTAAACATATGATCCTCTGGGTATCATTGAGACTCGGTGAAATGACATTTATGACTGAATTATGGTAATAAAAGTACATATTGTTCAAAAGGGAAAGACCACAATATGGAAATCCATGAACCTGAGTGGAAAGGTGTGGTGGAGAGCATTTGCAGGAGAATGAAAAGGAGGGGAAGCAGAAGTTATATCTTTGTGGCAGTATGTTACAGACTGCCCCGCCAGACAGATGTTATAGCCAGTGCTTTCATAATGCAAAACACAAAATTGAAACAGAGGTAAGATATACAGTAATGGAGAAGACAATCATCCAAATATCTGTTGAAATTCTCATTCAGCTAACAGCATCATCTGAAATATTATTGGCTTGGACCATTTCAAATCATAGATGAGATGGGGAGAAAGTTAAAAATGAAGGAAGACAGTTGAAAAAAAATAAGGGGAACTACTTCTCCAGACAAAATTCTAACCAACAGGGAAGAAATTTCTGGTTAAAGAAAATGTGGAGTTTGACTATTTTATGATTCCTCATATAAGTGACATCATTTAGTATTTGTCCTTCTGTGTCTGGCTTATCTCACTTAGCATAATGCCCTCCAGGTTCATCCATGGTGTTGCAAATAGCAGAATTTTCTTCTTTCTTAAAGCTCAAAGATATTCCATTGTATGTATATACCACATTTTCTTTACCCATTTATCTGCTGATGGACTTTTTGTACGTTAACTGGACCTCAATAAAGTGGTTTAAAAAAAGAGAAAATGTGGAAAAACTTCAAGGGAAAGCAGCTCTCAGAACTGAGGTTCAGTCAATAGTGGCAGGCCAGATTGGCAGGCCTCTAATTAATTAATTAATTAATATTTCTAAATAATTTGTTTATCCCTAGCAAATATTTATTCCTAGTAAAATTTAAATATTTTTTCCTAGTAAAATCGTTTCATCTTATCTGCCCATTATCATCCAAATTTTGTTTCAGGGCTCTGCTCTTGTCCCTGTCCCATTCCACTTTTCTATCAATGATCGGAGGAAGACATAAAAAGCAGATTGGGAAGAAAGTAAATGCATTGGAAGGCAGAAATTGGATTCAAAAAGATTTTGGCAGCTGGACTGAGGAATCAAAGCTAACCAGATAAAATGTAATGGGGACAAATTCAAAGTCTTGTTTTTAGTTTAGACACTCAATTGTATAGGAACAGGATTTAGAATACCTTGGGATTTCAGCTGACTGTATGCTCAGTCAACACTCAGTAGCCAAGGTGGCTGCTGGAAAACAGGTATGGGGCAGGGGGGCACCAGCTAATGTACAAGAGAAATAACCCAGCTGTCTTCTGCAGTGGGACAATGAAGAAGTGACATGTGAAAGATGGATTAGGTTTGTTAGTGAGGCACAAAAGGACAGGACTAGGACTAACTGTGCTTTAATTCAAGGAGCACTCTGTGGTTCACTTCAATTCTGTGGTATCTGTGCTTTAATTCACGGAGCATTAAGATTGATGTCTGACATGCTTGGGTTCAAATTTTGATTCCAATAGTTTGTAGCTCTGTGACCTTGGGCAACTCATTTAACTTGAGCCTCAGTTTCTTAACCTATAAAATAGAATTAATATTATCTATTTCATAAGGCTAAGTAAGGACTCATGAGAACTAAATGAAATAATGCATGCTGGAGCATTTGTAAATGGCAAAGCATAATACACATGTAAATCATTATTGTCATTATTATTTACTAGGAGGAAGAGTTAGGCCTTTTATAAGGAAGCAGTGACAATTATTTATAACTGCACAACAATTGAATGGGTTGTTTTGTTAAAAGTGAGCTACTCATCACTAGAAATAATCAAGCAGAGACAGGATGATCATCTACTGAGTGTCTGGTAGAAGAGAAGAAGATTAAACAGGATGACTTTTAAGGTCTTTTCTAATTCTAAGATGCTATGATCCTATTGATATTAAGAATTATCCTTTAAGCCTTTCTTTACAAAGGACTATATATCCTTGAAAATAGAGGTGACAGCCTTTAGATCTTTGTCACTTCTTGGACTTATTCTCAACTCCCAGGAGACCACTGCTCTCCCCATATCAGGAAAGAGCAGTACAATTGCTGGCTCTAAGACTTTCCAGAGCAGGAGAGACAAGTACAGACAAGTCATGTGGGGGGAGGACTTAACGTTTGTGACTTCACAACCTGAAGAAACACCCAGGAACACAGCTACCCAGGCCAAGTGGCTTAGGTGGGAGCTGCACGAGGCAAGTGTTTTTTAGAGTTTGACCCCAAATGCCCTCTCACCTCTCCACCCCACCATGTGGCCCAGGATTATCTCAAAGCAGGAAAAGGAAGCCTATCAGGAGGGTTTCATTGGAAAAACTCCTTTCATGTGGGCCTATGAAGTCAGACACAGAAGCACAAACACAAAGGTAAAAGAAAATACTAATTTGCAGCTATGCAGATACAACCTCAGGGTGGGAATCAGTTCTAGTCTTGATCCAGCTTTCATTCTGCCTTCGTTGCCATTTTTCTCCAGCACATTAAGGGGAACTTGCAGTTCGACCCCTATTGTCTGGCAATTGATTAGTTAAGCTCCTACTCTGCCTTATCTTACTACAATTCGTCAGAAGGTGAAACCATAACATGTAAGCTAAATGACTGTTTTTGGAATACCTTTCATTTTATGGCCCACCCACATATTTTTATATTCAGTGTAAGTCTTGGAGGAAAGGGAAAATGGGTAAAAGGAAGAGTGACAGAGGCAGGAGGCTTGTCACTATATTCACTGATACAAATAGGTACAATAAAGGAAGTAGTAGTCTTTGAACATAGTGTATTTTACCATGATAATGAAGTGGAAGAAGAGTCAAGGAGAGAGATGTTCACACACATAGAATCAGCAATGATGGTGGCTTAGCTACCCAGGAATGATTTCTGAGCTGTGTTCTGACTTGGGAGAGTGGAGTGACATGGATTAACTGAGGAAAGGCTAAAGATTACATAAACAAATGGGAGCATCCCCAGGGACTGCCCAGCAAAGAAATACACAACTTGCTTGTGACCCATCAGTAAGGTTTTTGCAATGCCCTAAAAGCTTACACTGTCTACGAAACACTATACTAAACAACCTGACATGTCTTACAAACACTTGCCTCGTGGCGCCCCGGCCAATCTTGAGCAGCTTACTGCTTCCTTACATTTCCTTATCTCTGGCCACAGGCCCCAACTACACCATGACTTACTGATGAAGTTAGCCTGGCCAGTGAATATGGTGTACTGAAGCTCATAGGAGCTGATGCTGAACTCATCATCTGAGATCCAGTGGACCGTAATGGTGTCATGGGAGGCAGTACAGAGTTCCTCTCGGATAGATGGTGGGTTTGGGGCTGTAAGGAAAGGTGGAAAAGAGGTAAGGAAAGCACACCTTCTGTTCTGGAATTTTACAATTGTTACTCTTGTTGCCCAAGCCAACATCCCATGAAGAGGAGGTTTTCTTAATAAAAGAAGCTATAGATTGCATATACTATACCACCTAAAGCCAAGTGCTGAGACCTCAAGCTCCCCCAAACCACTTTTGCTTCAATGATAAAGATATTTTAGGCAAAGATAAAAGCCTAAGTTATTGAAATAATTGCCCAGTTGTCTTCTCTACCAGTACAAACATATGTAGATACAACAGCAAAGTGGTCATATGGTTTTCTTATTACATGAACTTCAACCTATTTCTTTTTACTTCAAAATATTTTATTATATATTTTTGGCAGTATAGCCAAGTGAAAATTAATATGAGTTCCCTCATCAGTAAAATGGGGGTGATAATTACCACATAGATTTGTTGTGAGGATTCATGACATAAAATTAGTATATAGTGTCTGGCATAAAGTTGACAGCATTTAATAAATGACAGCTATTTAATATATTAAGAATAATTACAAACAGTTATTGTGTGTGTATATTTTTCTTATGCAATAATCATTCAAAAACCCTGAAGGAAGCCAGCATTTTTAACAGGCTGGTTGCATCCCTCATTTTTTAAAACTGTCTGCAAGCCAGATATTTCTGACATTTTTCTTCCTAATCTGATAATTCCTGAGTTTCCCTAAAACCATTTGAGTCATACCTGTACCCATGTGGGACATTCTCTAATATTCCATAATTGCCACCTGTGTTCTACTACCATAACAAGTGACAATATATTGCTGATAGGCTTGTAAGGAGCAATCCATCAGCAACTTCTTGTTTTATACCTTAGTATGGATGGTATACCCATTCTACCCCCAGAAATATTTGACAAATAATCTTTCTTTTGAAACATGAACTAAAATATATGTAAAAAGATATGTGTATCATTTTAAAGGTTATAAAAGCATTTTCGTTATAAATATTGTCCTTTCAGATTATTTTAAAGTAAAAGCACACCAAAAAAAGGATTAAAATGGTAAGGAAAGCACAATATTTTCACACCTGTTAAATAATCTAGCCCCTCGAGCAGTTTCTTTTCTCTGGAAAAATCTAAAGCAAAATTTTCAAAGGCATCATTAAAATTGATGTCTGGAATCAGAACTTGAGAAGATGCAGTTGCCATAGCGACCCTGGAAGAGAGAAAAGTACATCAATATACATCAAAATAAGTTTGCAACCTTTATCCAGTGTTTGATTTCTGGTTTAACAAGGTGAAAATAAATGAGTTGTAGGGCTTGATTCATTAAGTGAAAAATATCATATTGTGCTTTTCCAATGGAAACCATTTAAATTTTATTCATCAGGAACCAATTAAGTGTTATACCATATTTATTCACATATGTTCACCCCTCAAACACACTCCCCCATCCTGTCTTAATTTTGAGAAGAAAATACAGGATTTTTTCCCCTCTGCATCATTTTCCATCTGGCCAGCAGCATTAAAACTAGACCTTTGAAGGCTTGGTAAGAGCAGTTTGAGAGATTTTTTCCTCCCCCTCTATTTTATGCTAATCAACAAGCCAGCATGCTGGGGCTAAGTTAAAACCTTCCCCTAAATGTTACACTTTATTTGATCTTTTATAATATTTACATTTAATTTTATTATTCTTTAATTGTATAATGCTATGCTAGTTTTATCTCCTCAACTAATTCTAGGGATCTCGAGAGCAGGGTTCATATTTTGTACCACTTATGTCTTCCATGGACGCTAACACAGTGTTGGACATATAGTGAATATGAATAAATAACTGTTGAATCAATAACTGAATGACTAACTACAACAACACACTGCTAACATTTATTGAGCATTTAGTATATACATCACACCATCCATGCACTTTATATATGTTATCTAATTTACTCCTGACCATAACCTGTGTAGTAAATGTTGTTTCCATTTTGTAAATAAGAAAGTTGACACATATAAAGGTTAAGCAATTTGCCGAAGGTCACACAACTAGTAAGGGTCAGAAAAAAGAAGAAATATAACTGAACCTATGTTCACTGAATTCTAAACTCTATACCCTTAACCATTTAGATAGTGCCTTTTTAAAAAATATTAAGGTATATTTTAATATACTTTGGCAATTCTTAACCATAGTTACACATTGGAATTATCTTGGGGAGCTTTGACCAAAGCATACATATTTAAGCCCTGTGCCTAACCTTCTGAATCAGAGCCTGTGAAGTCCTTGAGCATGCAAATGACAGAATAGAAAGAAACATTAACTTGGCAACAATATGCAGGTTAGAGTGGAGGGAAGAGGCATTGAATGTAGGAAGACCAGAGGGAAAACTTCTTTGGTGAATTAGTTGTAAGGAGATGAGTACTAGTCCCTGCTACACATCTACCAACAATAGCTCCTGGCTGTTTCTGAAAATAGAGATCTTTCAAGAATAAACTGCAGGCCAGGATAAACAAATGAAAGACTAACTCAGTGCAATCTTAAGGTCTCACACTGAATAGCCAATCTTTCAGAATTTCATGAGTGAGAAGACAACAACCTCTTTAGGGCAAGAGGTAGGGCAGAAAATTGGCTCATGAAATTTCCCCTGGCCTCCTCAACCTTCTTCCTTCCTTCCTTCCATCCATCTACCCACCCACCCGTCTGTCCAATACTTACTGAGCACAACTAATGTGCCAGGCACTCTGGTAGTAGGCACTGGAGATACACAGGAAAGTTAGTTGTGGTCCTTGCCCCCACAGAGCTCACAGATCGTGGAAGAGAAAAACATTAAATAGGCAATAGAAGTGCTGCTACAAAGGGAGTGAAGTATATCCAAGAGTCACCTGGCAGGGACTTGGGTACTAAGGGAAATCTCCCCAGAGGAACTTCATTTTAAGCAATGACCTACAAGATGAGTACGAGTTAGCTAAGCAAAGACTTTGTGGATGTGTGTGTGTTCTCTCTTACGTAAAGGCTGAAGAATTAGGCAAAGTCACGCAGGGCCTTGTGGGCCATGTTACAAACTGTGCACTTTATCCTAAGAGCAATGGGAGCCACTGAAACATTTTAGGCAGAGGAGTGATATGCTCAAATTTATATTTTAAGGAGAGAACTCTGGCTGCATTGGATGGACTGAGAGAGGTGAAAATTGGAGGCAGATCGGATTTTAAGGTGTCTAGGAATGAGCAAAAAGTAAAGTGGTGACAGGAGTGTAGGCAAAATAGAAAGTTAATTCACAAAACATGGAAACAAAAAGCAAACAAATATATTAAAAAGCTCAACTATGTGAGAAATCAAAGAAATGTAAATTAAAACGAGACAGCATTTAAGATTATAAATAATGACAATATAGGAGCTTCTTATGCCTATATTAAATAATGCCTACGTATTTTTATTAGGGCTAAAATTGACACAAATTTCGGAGACCAAATTTAGCATTAAATATCAAAATAGTTTAAAATGTAAATATTATTTGACACTACAGTTCTACTTCATAAATTTTTTACTAAGAGAATAACTAAGACGTATACAAAGACACAACTACAAGAGCACTCAACACACTGTATGTAACCTAATTGTGTACCAATGGAGATTGAGCTAAGTAATGTGTTATATGTCAAGAGATTAAAATACTAAGAGGCCACTGGAAACTAGGTTATACAATAATATTCAATGACAAGGAAAGTGTGTGATATATCGTTAAATTTCAAACACAGGTTAAAATATAAGATATACAGCATGACCTTATGTTTGTGAAATATATACATATATATAAATATTGGGATACTATACTCCTAAATGTTAACAGTGGCTGGAAGGTTAAGGATGAGTTAAAAATGACATTGGGGTATATGTAAGTGTGTGTCTGTATGTCTGTGTTGCTATGTTTAAGCAAAACACAACATTAGGTATCTCTCAAGGCTTTGATCTCTATTGGGGCAATATAGTAAGTGTCATTTGTAAGGGGGAAGAAATAATTCTCCCAGCTAATATGCTACAATAAATAATGGTGGGGAAGAATTTTAGACCCTGTGAGAGACCAGTGAGAAAGACATTTAAGTTGGGTAGATGATTCTCAAGCCATACCACATAGATAGCCATCTATTCCACCTACCCCACAGGCTATACCTGAGCCTATGAAAAGAAGATTTAGATAGAGAGTTGGGAATCATCAACATCTAGGTGGTAAGTGAGCTATAAGTTTGCAACAGGGAAACTGTGTAGTGAGAGAAGAGAATAACCTAAGACAGAATCACAAAGAACAATAGCATTAAAGGAATAGGTCAAGGAAGAGTTGCTCACAAAGGCAAAAGAAACCAGAAAGGTAGGAAGAAAACAAGGAGTGTTCATGGAAGCTAATGGTAGAAAACTTTCAAGTAAAAATGGTCAGTAGGGACAAATCCTACTGAGAGATCAGGTAAGATGAAGCAGTAAGATAAAACAAAGGAATATCTATTATATTTAGCAACAAGGTATTCATTTGGACCTTGGAAAGAACACTTTCAGTAGTATAGTAGTGGCAGAAGACATTTCAGAGAGTTGAAGAGTGAGTGGGGATGATTAAATACAGTGGTTTAAATATATGTTTTATCTCTGCTCTCATGAAATCCCACTGAAATCACAGTCAAAGAATAAAAAGTCATAAACCCACAAAGACAAAGGGAATGGAAAAAGAGATGCCAGTGAGGGATAGATTGTCAAAAATTTTTGGAGGCTAAAAAGGGATAGATGGGTAGTAACCAATAAGAGACCAGAGAAAGCTGGATCAGGAAGCCAGCAACATCAAGCTGATTTAGTGTTACAGACAGCTGAAAATTCGCATGAGGAAAAGCTAGACCCCCAGATCCACTCACCAGAGACTACCCCTCCCTCATCCTGGTGGGAGATATGAGGTTTACTTTCTGCAGAGCTTTGATGCTATACTAATAACAGTCATAAAACCCTTAACTCCCTTTTCCTGCTTGGCTCCCAGAATGGTGGCAGCCAGGCTTATACCCTTCACGCCCCCCCCCCCCCACAGAAGCAGGAGATTGGTGGATTCCATCCAGGGGTAAACGACCCAAGAGAAAACACCTACAGAACTGACACTTGGGTTCTACTCAATAAAAATCTGGCATTCTACTTTATAATCCTATAGCAAGGTTCACCAAGCAACAAACTATTCCCATTCCCTCAGATCTTCCAGTCACCCTTTAGCACTTAAATTCAAACAGGCAACCAAAAGCTTACCAGACATTTAGGAAGACACAGAAACTAAAACAAACTAACGAGGAAAAGGAACTTGGAGGAAACCAAGACAATGCAGTTTAGAAGAAAACTTTTTAAATGATCATTAATAGCCTCAGAAAGATAAACAAATAGTTTATATCCACAAAGCGAGGACAGAATGCTAAAAAAGAAACAAAGATCAAGAAAGAGCTCTTATAAATAAAAATATGAATGCTGAAATTAAAATCGTAATAGAAGGATTGGATGAAAAATCAAGGAAAAATTTTAGATGATAGAACAGGAAGATAAAGTCATGGAAAATATGGGTAACAAAAGATTTCAAAATTAGAGGAAAAATCTAGAATGTCCAACATCTGACTAATCAGTGTCCCAAAAAGAGAGAAGAGAGAAAATAAAGGAGAGGAAAATATTAGGAAATAATACAAGAAATTTTCCCAGAACTAAAAGTCAGTAGAGTTCAGATTGGAAAGACCCACTTAGTGCCCAACAAAAACGAATGATAAAAGACCCACAGCAAGGCATATCTTGGTGAAATTTCAGAAAAACTAGATAAAGATAAGACCTTAAAAGCTTCAGATTTTAAAACATATGTCATATTCAAAAGATCAGGAATCAAATAGCAGTGAATCTCTCAACACAACACTGGAAGTTAGGAGACAATAGATCCATGCTTTCAAAATTATAACAAATTCATTTCAACCCATCAAATGTGAAAATTTTAAGTATTTTTTTAAACAAAAAGTTCTCAAAAATTTGCTTCCTATCTAGTCTTTCTTATGAACCTATGGGAAAATTTGCTCCAACAAAATTAAGGGAGTAAAATGGTACATGAAGGGGAAATCAGGTGGAGCCTGATGGAGTTCCTAATTAAGAACACAAGCTGAGAGTCCAGGGAGACTAAGTTGGCTGGAGTTTACAGGGCAGAGTACCAGAGAGAAGAAAGCTGCACAGGGAGAATTCTGGAGAGCTTCAGAGGGTTCCCTTCTAGTACTCAACAAAATCCTCATCAAAACATGCATGTGAGGAAACTGCCCAATGCTAGGGAAAGAGCCACCCAAAAAAGATTAGAGGGAACAATCCCTGGTGCTCACACAGGGGCAGGAATAGTGTCTGTTCCCACTGGCCAGACTAGAAAATCTCATGATTCATGGGGTACTCAGTGGAGTACTCAGAAGGGTCTTGCCTCAGTAGTGAGGAAAAATGTCCCCTGGACTAAACATTGCTATGACGTCAACTAACAATTCTTAAAAGCAAGACCTGAAAGAATCAAACTATTTTCAAGTAACTTAATTGTGTCCCAGCACAAAGCTTAAGAATACTTACAGGAATACAAAAATATACAGCAGCCAATAAGATAAAATTCACAATGTCCAGCATCCAATGAAAAATTACTAGACATGCAAAGAAGCAAGAAAATACAACCCATAATGAAGAGAAAAAGCAACCAACTGAAATTGACCTAGAACTGACACAGATGTTAGACTTTAAAACAGTTATTATAACTGTATTCCATATGTTCAAAAAGCTAGAAAGAAGGCTAAATATATTAAGTAAATATATGGAAGACATAAAAAGATCCAAGTTGAACTTCTAGAGATGAAAACTACAATATCTGAGATGAAAAATATACTGGAGAAATTAATGGCAGATTAGGCATTATAGAAGAAAAGGTTAGTCAAATTGAAGACTTATCATTAGAAACTATCAAAATGAAATCCACAGAGAGGGACCGGCCTCATGGTGCAGTGGTTAAGTTTGCACGTTCTGCTTCAGCAGCTTGGGGTTCACCGGTTCAGGTCCTGGGTGTGGACATGGCACCGTTTGGCAGGCCGTGCTGTGGCAGATGTCCCACATATAAAGTGGAAGAAGATGGGCACGGATGTTAGCTCAGGCTCAGTCTTCCTCAGCAAAAAGAGGAGGATTGGCAGCAGATGTTAGCTCAGGGCTAATTTTCCTCAAAAAACAAAAAAAGAAATCCACAGGAAAAAAAAAGACTTAAAAAAATAAACACAGCATCAGTGAGCTGAGGACATAGATACGAAGTTGAGGAATTTATCATTACATACCTACCACTCTCTCTATAAAATAGGAGGTAAAGTCATTTGCTGAGCATAAGCAGGAAGGTGGCAGGTTTAGAAGTTTTAGTTGAGTACAGAAAATTTGAAATAGCCATGATAGAGACAAGGAAAAAAGAAAGCTGACCAGAGCAACACAGAAGGATTTCAGGTCAGTACCAAGGGCCCAGGTGAGAGTAGAAGCCATAAATTTGTGGTATCATAGTACCAACTTTTTTGGTTATGTAATTTTCTCCAGTGGGGTCCTGCAACTCAAATATAGGCCTGGAAAAGGTGGGAATAGCTGGGCTGATTCAGCTTGGGGTTTTATCAGGTTGGTGTGATAAAAAGACAGTGGGGCAAGGGAACTGGGAATATTGAAAAGAGAGTAGCTGAAGTGAGAAATCACAGACCTCAAATAGGCCAAAGGAAGAAGTGAAAAGTCGGTAGCCGGTAGGTAGTAGTCAGTAGTTAGAAGTCCCAGTGAAGTTGAAGAATAGACTTATTGGAAGAAAAACAGACAACTGTAAGTACAGAGCTTGTGGTTAGAAAGTGGCATATTTTAATTTATGATTTAAGTGTAATTCTGAGTGATGGAGAAGTTCAGCATGTGGGCCTTGGAAGTGGATGGATGAAGTGGAGCAGAGGTGAGGGTCACTGGAGGAGGGGATGGCAAGAAGCCAGGATGGGCCAGTCATGTGGATACTGCTAAGGTCACCCAGAACAATGGCAGAAGCAACAGAAAAAAGAGGGTAAATTTGGAGACAAAATCTTCAATGAATGAAAAGGAGCTCTAAGGAGGCCAAATCTGGCCTAAAGAACCCCCGTAGCCCATTGAAGCCTTGGTGACTGAACAGTGTTTCACTTTATACCTCAGATTGTTCGCAAGTGGTGCATAGCTGGGCTTCTAAAGATCCATGAGTCCTCTGAAATTGTATGCAAAATTTTATGTGTATATATCTTACATGCATTTTTTCCCTTGGGAAGAGGGCTCATAACTTTCATCAAATTTTCAAAGGGGTGACTGACTAAATAAAAGCCTAAGAATTACTGCTCTAAAGGATTTACATGAGGAATAACTAAATGAAAACCACAGAAACTTCACATAGACTTAGGAAGGATACACACCTGTCAATGTGGCCAAAAGTTTCTCTGCCTGTAAACTAACGCCAATATAGAAAGCTCGAGCCCTGAGTGGGCAGTGGAGAGCTGTGGCATAGCTAGGGCACATGTTTGGCTGTGCATTAGAAAAACTGGTAGGCTGCAGAGATGGACAGAAGGGCGCCAGAAATCCACAGGGCAATCTGCCACTGAGGTTTAGTAACTATCCAGCTGGAAAAATCTTCAGGTGGCAGCTGCTACATACATGCCTGAACAGAATTAAGTGACTTTAAGCTGGCCCCTTTTCATAACAGCAGGCACATCAAAAGAATATAAGGAACTCACCTCTCAGCAATATTTTTTGCAGACTGGAGAAACCGTGCCTGGTCATTTTCTTTCAGGATATGCTCAGCTTGGTTGATGAGGACTGTTGACCGTTCAAGACACTGGCGGCAATTAGCAACCTGCTGTGCCAACTTTCTCAGTTTCATAACCTTAAAGGAATTAGCAAAAGAAAAATAAGAGAAAACATAGAGTGCTTAATTAAAAATGATAAAACAACATGACAGAGATCTGCTGCAGTGATTCTAAAAATAAGGCCTATTAATATCCCATGGCCTCTGTACGAACCACTCACCTTCTTACCCTACCCTCTATGTCTGCCTTGCCAACCCCTCCTCCCACCTAAGGACCACTTACTTACCTTGCAACACACTCAGTCATATACTCTAGGCCATCTACCTCCTCTTTTTATTCATAACATTAATTTTTCTGATTATACAAGCAATGCATGCTCATTATAAAAAATTTAGAAAACAAAACATAAAAAGAAACCCTACCACCCAGAGATCACCATTGTTTCCATTTTATTGTCAATATATTTTCACATACATGTTTAATAAAAAGTATCCCCTTTTTCTTTATGAGTATCTACATTTCTATGTAGATATTTGTCTAAGTATCTTTATGCATACCTGTGTGTTCACCCATCTGTGTTGTCAGAAACTTCAGTTCCTGTTAGCTAGAACCACCCAGCATGGCACAAAGTCATGACTCCAGGCTCTCATAACACCTCACCTGAACATATAATCACTAGACTGACCAGCAGACCAACCAGCCTAAAACCATATAGATGCACAGAGGCTCACACCTGACCTTCTTGACCACGATTCTTCAGTTCCCAGGTTAAAAGCCTGGAAGTCTTCTCTCTCTCCTTCATCTTTTATATCTAATCAGTTGATGATTCCCATCATTTCCTTTTAGCAATGCCTGTTATGTTCTTCCATTTGTGCTGCCACTTCCCTGATTTAGATTTTCATCAACTCATACCAAGAATCATTCTGTAAGCCCTGACTTGAACATCATCCCATTCTGATCTACCCTGCAAACCCCTGCCATATCAATCAGTCTTCTCCTTCCTAAGAAACTAGAATTGTTTCCCAATGCCTTTCAGATTAAGTCCCAAATCCTTATACTGGCATCCATGGTCCTTCCATAATTCTGACCCACATTTCTACCATGAGTGTTTTGCTTTTTTCTTTTTGTATTGACTTATAACATACATACAATAAAACACCGAAATATGACATGTACCACTCAATGATTTTTTGCACATATTTACACACCCATGTAACCACCAACCAGGTCAAGATAAAGGATGTTTCCAATACCCCAGAACTGCCATCATTTTTACTGGATTCATAGCACTAGGCCAAACACTGCTTCTTCTTTGCCTCCCTCCCTACAACCTCATTTTTCTTGCTTGCATGATCCAAGTTCAAACTGGAATCATCAGGATGAAACTTTGACATTTGTAAAGTCAACTCTGCCTTGGCCTCACTGAAGCGCTGTGCTTTACCTTTGTCTCTTTGATTTTGACAGCAATCATTTGCTTCCTCTGCTGGATGATCTCTACCAACTCGTCACATTCTTCCATAAGTTTTGCCTCATGCATAGCAGTATTCACCTGCCAAGAAAGTCCAGAGTATTACACAGTGATTGCTGCCTTTGTCCCCTGCTGGCTCTCAAAGGTTCGGACTGACAGCTAAGCATGCACAACTTCTTCCATACCTCCCTCATAAGATCCACTCCTAGAAGAAGGGTAGAGATGATGATATTAATGATGCAAGGGCATTGAAGCACCACAGACAGGAAGCTCTCTGGCATCTGGTAGATCATGATGGTTAATGGAAGGCTGGGCAGAAGGACAGATGAGATGGGGGCATGTTATTCCCACTGTGCAATTCCCGTTACTCCAGCACCCTGTCCTGCTATTCTTTTGGAAAGAGGGTAAGGAGATTTAAAAGTATGTCATGGAAAGAGGATCCCTCTCCACAGGCACGATAATATTAAGATAACATCACAACAACATATGTCTACCATCCTAACAAAAATGTTTCAGTTTTCCTTGTTCCTGTCTAATTTTAAAACTAGGAATGTGCAGCTCTGTGTTCACATTAAATAGATGCACGTGTATACATATTTTCACATAGTTGTCATCATGTCTTAGTAGATATTTCTCACCTTGGGCTGTCAAGTATCTGAACACCTTTCCTACTTTGGGAGACTGGCTATATCAAAATATCTCTACTGCAAAGTCAGGGTGGGGTTGAAAAAAAAAAGCCACCACTCTTCATTGTCTTTCCGTGTACCGATTTCTCCTTCTTCCCATCTCTACTACTATTGACATTAGATGGTATGAAGCCCCCTGCTAAAATGAGAGCAGGAGATCTTTGGGCTTCCCAAGTGTAAAGGGAAAGGAAGGGGAAATGAACTTACATCTTGAAAGCACTTAATGTGCCAAGTACTTTATAGATAAATTATTTCATGTAATTACATAACCACTTTATAATATAGGAGCCATTTTTATTCCCATTTCACAGATGGGGAAACTGAGACTCAGAGAATTGTAGCGACTTGTCAAGATCACATAGCTAGTAAGTGGTAAAACCAGAATTCAAACCGAGTCCTGTCAAGTGAAAGCCCTGGGCTGGCTGGGTGGGCAGAGGAGGCTCAGTTCCATTTCAGTAGCACACAGCGCAGTCACACGGGGAAGCACAATCATTCCAAGAGTCTATTCACGGATCACTCACGCAGAGCTCTAGAAGGCTGAGGAACAGACAATGGGTTACTTGAGAGCATGAAAACTCGAGGGGCCAGATGTGCTTCATTAGCAAGGTAAGGCTGCATTTCCAATTGCTAGCCCTCTTCAGAGGGTTTCTTTACATACTCCAAGCCCAGGAAAATACCTGTCACTGGACCCTGCTGCCTCCTCTCTCATCCTCTAAGATCCCTGCTGGCGATTTTCTGTTTCTTACTCAACTGAAATAAAATACACTTGCCGAATTTCAACCTTATTTTGCATTATTTCCACTTTCCAAGGAGAATACCAAAAGAAGAGCTTCCATTTATTCTGAACAAACAGTCCCACTCTGGCCATTCTAATTTTTCTCTCAGACTCCTCATCCTTTCCCTAATTGGATCTACCTTTCCAAGGCAGATAATTTCACCTTCCTTGAGATATGAGAATAAGTGATCCATCTGGTTCTCCCTGGATCCCTGCTCAGAGTATCAGGAGACTTAGATACTTCCCACTTATAGTTTCTTTTTGAGGCTGCTGTTGGTGTAGTGTACAATGGTGTAGTGCCTTATTTCTTGCAATTTAGCCCTTGGACTAACCTTTACACAACTCTCACCATATGCCAAGTGCTGCCCTAATCAGTTCACATATACTAGTTCTCTCAGTCATTGAAACAACCCTACGAGGAAGATACTGGTAGCCCCATTTTACAGATGAGGAAACCTAAGCACAGAGACACTAAGTGACTTTCTCAAGGCCACAAACCTAGTAAGTGGCAGAGATGGGATTTGGACCCAGGGAGTCCAACTCTAGAGTCCACACTTTTAACCATCACACTATACCGCCTCTCCAGTCTAGTGTAACAAAATCTTTGTCTTCAGGTTCTGACAATCATTACCTCTTTTGCACCATCCATCTTCATTCTGTCATCCTATTCTCTTTAGTCATTTCAGACTACTTGTTGTTCCCCTAGAATGCCATGCACTTCTGCATGTCCTATGCCTCTGCTTGAGACTCTGCTTTCACTTGGAGAGTCACTTCCCTATTTGTTTTTTTTTTCTTATTATTTATTTATTTATTGAGGTCACATTGGTTTATAACATTATGTAGATTTCAGGTGTACATCATTATAGTTCACTTTCTGTATTGACTACATCGTGTTCACCACCAAAAATCTAGTTTCCATCCATCACCATACTCATGTCCCCCTTTACCCCCTTCACCCTCCCCGCTCTCCCTTTGGTAATCATCAATCTGTTCTCTGTATTTATGTGTTTGTTTGTTATTGTTGTTTTATCTTCCACATATGATTGAAATCACATGGTACTTGTCTTTCTCCATCTGACTTATTTCACTTAGCATAATACCCGCAAAGTTCATCCATGTTGATGAACAAATGGCAAGATTTCATCTTTTTATGACTGAGTAGTATTCCCTTGAATATCTATACTACATTTTCTTTATCCATTCATCTGTTGACAGGTACTCTGATTGTTTCCAAGTCTTGGCATCTCTATTCGTTTACTGAACAAACTTCTACTATCTTTCCAGGCCCTGCTCAAAGATCACCACTTCTGTAACTTTTTCTCACCTGCCTGGACACAACTGGTGCCCTATTTATAGTCCCATAGCACTTTATATATAATTCAATTATATTATTTTACTCCCTTATATCATAGAAATTTATTAGTCTGTCTTCCCTGCTCAAACATAAGTTCTGGACGCCAGGGGTTGTATCTTACTTGGCTATATCTCTAGCATAAGTGACTAGCATATGGTAGATGTTGAGCAAATATTTGCTGCACTGAATTGAATAGGGGGGCATATCTCACCTCTTGCTAGACATGTTCACTTGGTTATTCAAGTTACCCCAAACTCAGTATGTCTAAAAACAAACTCATCATCTTCCCTCTAAATCTGGATTCTACCTCTGATTTCCTTTTTTTTTTGTTAATGCGACTATCGTTATTGCAGTTACTCAGGTTCAGTTACCTCTGACTTCTACTTCTCCCTCATCCTCCACATCAATTCACAGCAATCTCAATGTCCTGCCCTCCTTTTCTTTCCAATCTCGCTTAAGTTCTTCTGGTAAAACAGTGAGGCTCTGAGCCAAGGAACCAATAAGTTGAAGCCCTTATCACCCTTTTGGACTATTATTGTAAAAGCCTTATTAATTCATCCCCTTACCTTCAGAATCTTGCCTTTGTCATCCACGCTCATAATCTGTCCTATATCCTGAAACCAGGAAAATTCATCATCAAACATGTATTAAGCATCTCGTGTGTGCAGTGCATTATGCTCAGGCCCTGCCCTCAATAAATTTGCAATCTGCATGGGGAAAAGCCACATACATATAACACAAAAAAGTCAAGGTAGCATAGTTAAATTCCAATGAGTGATGTAGATTATAATCTACAGAAATTGAAGAGAAAGATCACTTTCGGTGGGGAAACAGAGAAAAGATGCCTGAATGCAGCAGGACTTGAATTGAGCCTTAAAATGGATAGAACTTAGATTTTAATGGTGATAAGGAGGGAAATTTTGAGCCAAGCTAACAAGATTGAACTTTACTCTTTAGGTAATATGGTATCTTTGAAAAACATTTTTGAAGAGAAGGAGGGTAAGATGGTGGGAGAATGACCATAGTTAATTTTTTTTAAGAAGATGAACTGGATTGATTTGATTTGGGGTAACAGTAAGCTTGGGGACAATTTAGGAGGCTATTGTGATATGAACAGGCCCTAGCCAAGGAGGGTAACAGGAATAGAAAGGAAAGGTCAAATATGAGAGTACTCTCGTTTGAAAATATTCAATTAGACAGCAAGCTCCTTGAGGAAAGGTTTTATGCCACTTTGTTTCTCCCACTGTAACACGCAGAATGCTTTACACACAAAAAACACTTAGGAGACATTTACTGATTGATTTAGCAAAGTGAAAAATCAAAGTAAGAATGATAAACATTAGAAAATTACTATAGTAAATGCATTTTGTAGAGAAAATGTAGATTGAAGGAAGGGAGCTAGAGTGGGGTTTAGAGAGCTGCATCGGGTGAGATAAAATAGCCAGGCACAACTAGTAGAGCAGAAAGTTGGCTGAAGAGGCAAAAGCCCAAACTAAAGGTAAAGCAGTGACATTAAAATCTTTCCATGTCAAGAAGCAGTTCAAAAGAGCAGGGTCCTTTCGTGTTTTCTGAACAGGAAATACTCCAGGGAAAAACTGTCTTCATGATGTGAATAAAACATCTCAAATTGCTTGGAAGACACTTGAAAGCCCTGGTATTTTTCTTGTCTACAGTTTTCTTGGAAAATACAGTGAGGTATTTCACTTGCTTATTAACCCTTAGTTGAAAACAACTGGGGTTACCTTGATAAGCATTCTTTGGTTGGTTGGTTGGTTGGTTGGTTGGTCAGTTGGTTGGTTTGTGGAAGACTCCAGCTCTTTATTTGACCTTTGCTCTTTGGTTTGGGTTAGTGGGTTTAACTAAGTGGCTTTATATCTGTGGAAAAGCCTATCCTCTCTGAAAGTACCATTAGATACTAATCTTGGTAACCTCTTGTGTAAACCTGCCCACCCTAGAAGACTTTTGGGGCAGTTTCTGATGTTTAAGACAGAGTCTCAGCTCTAGTCGTCCAAGGCCTAAGCACAAGGGAACACAGGCCTTCCTGTTAAGTCTCTGGGCCCTCTTCTCTGCTCTGTGTTCTTTTCTTTCCTCCCAAAGGCAGCAAAAATTTGACTTGCACATTTCTTTCCAACTTCCCAATCTACTCTATTTCCTGAAGTTCTTTCCTACCTCCCAACCCAAAGATTAAACCCAGTGTCAGACCTAGTCTTCCCCAATTTCCCGCCCTTCCCTGATACAAACACACACATCCCCTGTTTGAAGGATT